TTTGTTTTTGTAAATCATCGATCAGTTTTTTGTACTCTTGCAATGACTGGTGAAGTCGTTTTACTTTCTGTCCACATTCACCTGCTATATGCTTCATAGAGCTGAGATCCTGCAGACGTTGTTGAATATGTTGAATGGAAGCTGTCAAACGAGCTATTTCGTTCTCCTCTTTACCCTGAGCTATAGCTTTTGTCAATTGTTTTTTGCTCTTTTCGTAATCAGCTTCGAGTTTTGATTTCTTTTTATTTACGCGTTGCTTGGCTTTTGTACGTGTTTCACTGTTTTTTACTAATTCTGTGATTATGTTTTGCTTTATTTGCATTGTTTTTTCAATTTCCTTAATTTGACGTTGTCTTGCTTCAATGTCAGTATCTAATTTACGTATCTTACGCTGTATATTTTCAATTGGAGAATTTATTGCTGCACGTATTTGCTTAGCATGTTTCAAATCATCACAACTATTAAAGAAATCGTCAGACGCTGTAGTTTGTTCCCTCGAAGCTACCCGATTAAGCATAGCAATTTCAGCACTCGAAAGACTTGCTCCAGGTTGTAAAGACCGGCGACGCCCTATAAATATATTTTTTAAATCATGCTAATACTACGAAATACATTTATTTTTCATACCACCTGTGGATCCTTTACGTTCATCTAGTTTTTCTACCACTTGATTTTCTGTTATATCTTCTCTTCTCTCTCTGTCTCTGTCTCGAATGTTATCTAAACTATTCATTACAGCATTCGGCTGTTTTTCAATAAAATCATTGTATTTTTCCTTCACTAAACTATCCGTTTTTAAACTAAAATCTTTCATCAAAGATTGCAACTTTTCGTCCAAATCAGGACGTTGAGATTCTGAATCGGAGTCATTATCAGAGTTTTGTTGACATGTGGTTTCAGGCTCACTAACTGTTTCCTCGGGCTCTTCGGCTTCTTGTATAGGCCCAAGGTGTTTCTGTGATCTTGCTAGGATAGCTTCACTAGAACTTAAGCATTCTTCACACTCTTGTTTAAGAAAAAGCCACTCCTCTATTTGTTCCTTATCCAAATCCGATATGTTATTCGAAGAGATCAATCTAAATATATAATAATTATTTTATATAAAATTGTAAATGGTGTACACTTGAACATACTTCGCAAACAGCCCCTCAGCGTTAGAAACTAATTTAAACCATTGACTAGCTGCAAACTGTAAACCAAAATTATCGACTATTGATGGCAAGCCACCCATACCAGTCACATTTGGCATCTCTGGAACAACCTCTGGCGATATAGGTGTATTGTCATCTGAGAATCTATTCATTATAACGTAGTTGCGTACACACTGTACTTTTAAAGCGAACTTCAAATTACATATAGTCTCGCTCATATCACGGTCATATGGTGAAACACATAAAATGACTAAAGTCTGCGCACGTCCCCCAAATGAATCTTTAAGTAATGTTGTAAGTGTTGTCTGATTGTAGGGAATATTCCCATTTGCACTATATAGTAACGCCGGATCAGTGAGCGTATTCACAACATGTTCTAATGCTTGCAAACCCAAATCATTTGGTAGACTAGGCGGTTGATCAAGTGAGCTCAGCATAAATAAGCGTCTTGTTGCACATAAATCAGAAAAACTGGCTGTTGATAAGCGATGCTGTATTAGACCTTCCTTTGTTACCCACTGCTGTTCCAAAGTAAAGGTAAACAGCGTATGTGTTAGTATTTGTGTAAAATTATTGGTTTCTTGACCATTGTTCACTTTATTATTCATGCCCATTTGCAACCATTGAAACACATCAGTCAAGTTTGCACAATGAACGTTGCCCACACCAAGTAAGTCACGTATGACTTCACCACATATTTCTACCCATCCAATATTTACTGCATATGTACGCTCTGGATGGTTAGCCATAAGTGCATATATTTCACGTACACAACGCTGCACAACTCCTTGATCGGACTCTCCGTAAACACAATCAAATCCAGGTCCATAAAGTGTGTACGTTTTACCGGTCCCTTGCTGACCATACGTTACAACAGACGCATCAAAACCTTCCATGAACAAGCTTATAAGTGGAAATACTGTTTGATGGTATACTTGGTTTTGTGTGCAATCTGCTGGTAATGCATGTGTAATGGTGTAACTTTGAGACCCCACTTGCACTAAACCCCCTGCTATTCCATTGTCCACATTATTTTGTACATCGGTAGACATAAACCCTTGAACCGCCGCAGTGACTGGTATTGTTTGCACACAACATCCCGTGCCTTCAGCATTTTCAGCAAATTTTCGTTGTTCATCTTCACAAGGAGATGCACTTACATTGCCATTTGGATCGTTTTTAACCGCAGACGTTGTACATGCATTGGCATTCGGACTGGGAAAAATGCGCACTGCAACTTGTATTGGAATTTCCATTTTCTTATTGAGTAAACAACACTTATTTTAAAGGCTAGTGATTAAACTCGAGTTTATTATAACACTACCATCTTCTTTATTTATTCGCATTTTTGCAAATAATTTTCTTACAAAAACATGGACGACAATTTTTCTATAAATATGCTTTAGTTGTTGTTGGTAAAGTAAACAGTATTGCGTGGGCGAAAAACTAAACAATTCGAATAAAGTAGTTTTTTAGAGTTGCCAACCGCACAAACATGATTGACAGCTCATTCAATAAGTAGTGCGTATTGAACTGGAATACATATGATAGCTAAGTAGCATACACATCTCGAAATTATTTTTTAACACCTGTTTTTAATGTGTAATATGTAAAATATATTTAATTTAGTAATATTGCAGAAATATGAAATAAGTAAAGTGGCCATATTGATGTTTTGAATTTAGATACCATATATATATAAAAATATATATACTTATAACAACGAATCTGTTATAACTGTGCTTTTATGTTATTCTAAACTATTTGATTTAAGTAGATTTATGATAGATTCAATGTGTTAATGTAACACAATTGTTAATTTGTAAGCGTCATAATAAATAATTCAATATTAACTACTTTTTAATGTATTTGTTTCGAATATTGTTTATGCAAAAAAGTTAAAAAATTCGATTTCAATTTCGATTATTATTGTAGTATACTCGATAATGGCAACACTGCATAAAGAAATAGAGAAAGAAGTAAAAAAGACAAAATGCGTAGTTGTTGTCGGAATCGTGCAAAGCAGAGTAAACGTGCTGTGGTGTAATCATAATATTTATTAAGATTAAATTGTAAATTATTATAATACTTTAAGTAATAAAGTATATGTTGTTATATATAAGAACATAACAAAGTTGGCGACGAGGATAAAAATTAAAGGATGGCGAGGAGTTTTGGGGTATTGGATCAATTTGACGTTGCGTCAAATTCCACTTCCCCAAGCAACGCGGGGAAGTGGAAGACTTACAGGGAGCAAATGGAGTTTTTTTTTATGGCAAATGAAATCACAGACGATAAAAAGAAAAAAGCAATCTTTTTAGCGTCATGTGGGCCGGAAACCTACACAATATTAAAATCGGTTGCCACACCGATTAATATTGTAGAGGAAACATTCACATTTGAGGCGGCAACTAAGTTATTGACCAACTATTTTTGTCCGGCAGCGAATGCAATAATTGAAAGGTTTAAATTTTATCGGAGAAACCAAGTAGAGGACGAATCAATTATTGAATATTTGGCAGCGCTAAGGAAATTGAGCCAAGACTGCAATTTCAAGGATTTGGAAGAAATGTTACGAGACAGACTAGTCTGTGGCATGCGCGATGAAAATTTACAAAAGCGGCTCCTGGCGAATGACCAGTTAACACTAAAAATAGCGCAGGAGGAAGCTATAGCATCAGAAACAGCACAAAAGAATGCGACGGAACTTAAAACGTCAGCCAGCCTACCAGGGTTGAATAAAATTTCAAGCAACAAGGTAAAACCAAATCGTGCTCCAGTGGACCATATTCAGAATTGTTATCGTTGTCGAGGAAATCATCATTCAGATCAGTGCAAATTTAAAGACGCGGAATGTTATTATTGCAAAAAGCGTGGACATATTGAGAGAGCTTGTATAAAAAAAGCAAAAACCAAAAAGCCAGCAACAAATAATGGAAGAAGACTAAACAGAGTAAATCTTTTAGATACAAACCAGGAAACTCAAAAGACAGAGTATTTATGGTCAATGTTCGTTAAAGGTAGTCCATCGGTCAAGAGAGTGATTACGATAAGTAAGTCACCGGTACAAATGGAAATAGATTCGGGGGCAAGTTACTCAATAATAAGTGAAAAGTTATTTAGAGAAAAAATGCCGTATATTCCGCTAAAACCAAGTCAAATACAATTAAGAACTTGGGGAACAGAGAAAAATCTTAAACTGAGTGGAGAAGCAGAAGTACCAGTCTCGGTTGGGAACGTCACAAAGAAACTAAAGTTGTTAGTAGCAGCGGGTGAAGGTCCGGCTCTAATCGGTCGAAATTGGTTTAACGATTTGGGAATTACTATAACCAGCAATTTATGCAATATAGAATCAACTATTCCAGTAGAAGTGATGAACTTCAGTTCAGTTTTTGATGGAAATCTTGGAGATTACAAGGGAAATCCTGTGAAGTTACAAATGTCAGTTTCAAGTAAACCGAAATTTCTTCGATATCGACAAGTGCCGTTTGCACTAAAACTCAAGGTGGAAGCAGCATTAAAGAAGTTGGAAGATGAAGGCGCACTACGTTCAATATCCTTTAGTGAGTGGGCAAACAAATACCGGAAATACCTGAAATATTATACTGCAATGAGGCTGAGGAACAGTTTTTAATCACTGCGAAAGAAATTGCACAAGCAACCAGAAGAGATCCAATACTATCAAAAGTAATGTGGCATATCCAAAGGAAAGATACAGTTTTGCCATATAAATCAATCCAGTTTAAACCGTTTGTGAATAAAATCCAGGAACTATCAGTGAATGCACAATGTTTGTTATGGGGAGCCAGGGTAATAATACCAGCAACACTACGTCCCAGAATACTTGAGATGTTGCACGAAGTTCATCAAGGCATGTCGGCAATGAAAGCAGTTGCGCGAAGCTATTTTTGGTGGCCTGGTTTAGATGAAGATATAGAAATGTTAGCCAGACGTTGTGAAAAGTGTGCATGTAACAAAAAGAATCCTCCAGTAGCAGCAGGTAAACCATGGCCAGCAACGCTAAGGCCATGGTCACGGTTACATATTGATTATGCGGGACCCTTTATGGGTACAAATTTTTTTATCGTCGTAGATGCTCATAGCAAGTGGATAGAGGTAAAAATAACCAGTAAAATAAATGCGATTAGAACAATCGAGTTAATGAGAGAAATATTTGCAACACATGGTATACCAGATACCATTGTGTCCGATAATGGGCGAACGTTTGTGTCAGAAGAATTTGAGAAATATTTAAAACTTAGCGGTATAAATCACATACGTACGGCACCGTATCATCCATCGTCAAACGGGCAAGCAGAAAGGTTTGTACAAACCATTAAGAATCACCTTAAGAAAATGCAGTCTTCAGACATCAGTAAGAATTTGGCAAATATACTTTTGCATCTGCGTACAACTCCTAATGCAAATTCAAATTTGAGTCCAGCAGAAATCTTGATGGGAAGGAAGTTGAAAACATTGTTAGTTCATTTGCACCCCAGTGATCACAACACTCAGAAGCAGCTAACTTCTGATGAGTATTCCAAACAAATAAAACCAGTTCGCAGTTTCCAGTGTGGTGAAAGTGTTTGGTACCGAAATTTTGGAAGAGGTGAAAAGTGGATGCCAGGGATTATACAATCAACAGGAGATCGCAACTACAAAATTCAATCAAATAGTGACATATTGTCGAGACATATTGACCAGTTGCATAAGCGAGTTTCGGAGACACCGACAAGGTTAGAATCCAATATAACTCCAGTAGCAGTAACTTCAGTGGCACAACCGGAAGAGCAAGACGACCAAGTAAGTGCAGGTCAGTCATGAAATGAATATATCCTACCAGATAGTCAAGTAGAGGGGTCATTAGAAGAAAAAGATAAAAGAGATGAAACATTAAAATCGCGACCGTACCGGCAACCGCCAAAAAGGTAACCGCCAAAAAGGTTACGGGACTATTTGATGGGGGAGGAACTGTAGTATATTCGATAATGGCAACACTGCATAAAGAAATAGAGAAAGAAGTAAAAAAGACAAAATGCGTAGTTGTTGTCGGAATCGTGCAAAGCAGAGTAAACGTGCTGTGGTGTAATCATAATATTTATTAAGATTAAATTGTAAATTATTATAATACTTTAAGTAATAAAGTATATGTTGTTATATATAAGAACATAACAATTATTATCAACTTAATATTTGATATATAATTCCAAGTTCGATTTCAATTTCGATTATTATTATTTTATCAACTTATCAATTTTTAATTGATATATAATTCATTAATTTTACATTAAATACGCTTACAACACATACATTTTCATCATTGAATGGTTTTTGTATATTTTCCTAAGCATTATATATGTACATAAGCCAGATCGCATCTTAACTGGTTCACTTACTTTGAAAATAAAAGCTTTGTTAACCAACTATTGTCATTGTTATTAACATGTCCAACGAAAATTTGATTTAAAAAAGTTTATATTAATATCTAAAAAATTTTAATTTGCATTTACGTATAAAATTCATATTGAATACAAACCGATATATACTATATTCAAACTAATTAAGACTGCACATCAACCAATTAGACATGAATGTATAGTTTTTAGATTATATAAAAATACTATTTGTATATGAATGAGAGTTTTTAATAATCATAACTAAAACGCTTTATTTCTGTGACGCATATTTACAATTTAATAGCACATTCGCACTCTCTCATTTAGGCGAATTTGCTCATTATAGCCGCTAATGACTCTATACAAACTGCTTTTATATAAATAAGCTCAATATCAACAAATCAGCTCATTTAATCATCTTAGAAATAAATTTACCACAAATGAATTTACCAAATTTGAAATATGTGCCATATGTTTTATATATAAAATATAAATGAACAACAACTGAGCTGTAAACAAAGGCACTGACTTAGTAAGTATATAATAAAATTTGTGTTTTTATTAATTAAATACGTAATTGATATATAAAATGTGTACAAATGACTTAATGTACCAATTATATATTTAATTTATTTTTATGATGTATTATTAAGGAATAAAAGTGATGAAAGTTTTGTCAACTGCAAAAATGAGTTGATTGCAAAGTTGATAATGATAAAAATTATTAAACTTTATTCAATAAAACAAAAATTATATGTTCTTAATGAAATGCATAGTAATTATTTATAAATTGTCATTCTGTAGGATTTTAATGTTTTTATTCATATTGTACGGATGGTTTGCCTAATTTAAATATTAAGTCATTAATGATACAACTCTGTGTAGTTAATGAAAGAACAAACGCGTGCGACGGCGTATGGTGAGGAAAAAGCTGCGTTTTTGGCAAATATTTCATAAATTATTTAATTAATTTTGCGTACATAAGAAATTGTTTAAATATTTGATTTCATATAAAATGTCTAAAAGACGAATTGATGTTGGCGATTCATTAGCTAAAAAAAAGAAGTAAGTCTCTGGGTATAAAGCACATTTTTTTAGCTGTAAGAATATTTTTACGGGACAATCAATGTTAAAATGTATTTAATTTACCATAACTAATTGTTTAATTTATTTAGGAACGAGTTAGCATCCACGTCAACTGCCACAGTTTCAGTTGGAAGTGGCGCTTTGGCCAGTAGCAGACAACCGAGCACAATGAATCCATACAGTATGAAGCCTTATTCGGCGAAATATTTTCAATTACATAAAAAACGCATAACTTTGCCAGTGTTCGAATATCAATCAGATTTCATGCGTCTGCTAAATGAGCATCAGTGCATTGTGCTCGTAGGTGAGACTGGGTCTGGCAAAACCACACAAATACCGCAATGGTGTGTTGAATATGCATTTTCGAAGGGTAAAAAGGGTGTTTCTTGCACACAACCACGTCGTGTAGCTGCTATGTCTGTAGCACAACGTGTTTCAGAAGAAATGGACGTAAATCTAGGTGAAGAAGTTGGCTATTCTATACGTTTTGAGGACTGTTCCTCTGCAAAAACTGTGCTGAAATACATGACAGATGGTATGTTGCTACGTGAAGCTATGTCTGATCCTATGCTTGAACAGTATCAAGTTATATTGCTTGATGAGGCGCATGAACGTACACTAGCCACAGATATACTTATGGGTGTTTTAAAAGAAGTTATACGCCAACGCAATGACTTGAAATTGGTAGTGATGTCTGCTACCTTGGATGCAGGCAAATTTCAACAATATTTTGATAATGCACCACTAATGAATGTACCTGGTCGTACGCATCCAGTAGAAATATTCTACACTCCAGAGCCTGAAAGAGATTATTTGGAAGCAGCGATTCGTACGGTTATACAAATACACATGTGTGAAGATGTTGAAGGTATGTTTGAATATTACATAAATAAATATATATATTTCTAAAAAGATTTTATTTGAATAAAAGGTGATGTACTCATGTTCCTCACTGGTCAGGAAGAAATTGAAGAAGCTTGTAAACGAATAAAACGTGAAACTGATAATCTTGGCTCTGATATTGGTGAACTTAAATGCATTCCACTTTATTCAACCTTACCACCGAACTTACAGCAACGTATTTTCGAGCCACCACCGCCACGCAACGCTAATGGCGCAATCGGTCGGAAAGTTGTAGTATCAACCAATATTGCGGAAACTTCATTGACTATTGATGGTGTGGTATTTGTAATTGATCCAGGATTTGCTAAACAGAAAGTTTACAATCCACGTATACGTGTAGAAAGTTTGCTTGTTTCGCCAATTTCGAAAGCATCCGCACAACAGCGTGCAGGTCGTGCTGGACGTACCCGCCCCGGTAAATGTTTCCGTCTCTATACTGAAAAAGCGTATAAAAATGAGATGCAAGAAAATACGTATCCAGAAATTTTACGTTCGAACTTAGGTATGCCCAAAGTAATTCTAATAAACTTTTTTCATGATATATTTATATGGTATTCCCCTTTAGGCACCGTTGTTTTACAATTGAAAAAACTGGGTATAGACGATTTGGTACATTTTGATTTTATGGATCCGCCAGCACCAGAAACTCTTATGCGTGCTTTAGAACTATTAAATTATTTGGCTGCTCTCGATGATGATGGCAATCTTACAGATTTAGGTGCAGTTATGTCAGAATTCCCCCTCGATCCACAATTAGCTAAAATGTTGATTGCTAGTTGCCAACATAACTGTTCAAATGAGATATTATCCATCACTGCAATGCTGTCGGGTGAGAATTACATTTTAATTTTTAAATATAATGTTTTGAGATGATTATGTTCTGAAAAACAACAAAAAGATAAGCCTATTTTTAGTTGTAAAAAAAATGAAATCCCAGCAACAGTTTTCAGGTATAATATTTTTTGCAAATCGGTATAAAGTTATGTGGAAGTCCATATATATCAATATACATTTAGATTTTGCGAAGAAAGAAATTTAGAAAGAAATTTCTTAAATTTATTACTTTCCACATGTATTTATAATAAAAAATTCTTCAGTCTTTCATTATATTATACCATTCAAACTGATATATTAGTTAACGTTATTAAGTTGTCCTCTTATTTCAATTTCTCAACTATTTTTAATCTTAACTTTTATATTTCAAATATAACTAGCTGTTTTTCATATCTGATATTATTTAATGCTGAGATTTTAAAATAGTATACAAAGGTTTTTGATTAAAAATAGGTTTTTTATTTAAAATATAATTATTAATCAAAATTAAATTAATATAGGAATAACCAATAACTTGTTGCGTTTTGGTTTTTGCAATAGATTAAATATACTTTCAATTAAGCTATCAAATTCAATAATAATAACTAAACATAAAAAATATATACATTTTCAGTTTCAGTGCAAAAGATAAATTACTTTAATTAGTTTATCTTTTGCATTTACCACTAAAAAATGTTTCACATACGATGAATTAAAAAAAAAACATAATTAATTAATTATTTTTTTTTTCTTGAAGCTTAACTTTAATTTAATTTCAAACTGACTACATTTGATTTTCTTATTCACAGTCTATGTAGAAGAGTTACGAAGTATTCTTGGTATCTAGTAAACTACCGACGCATTTATATATAGTATGTTTCTTATAAATTGGCAATCGTGCATCAATTAAAAAAGTATCTCTCATTTTATTAGTATTCAAAAAAATTTATACAAAATGTACTGTTAGTAAATGGCGTTGGAAGTTATTTAGATCTTAAGATTTTTCTGCAACAAAATAAATAAGTATTTGAAATACATATCGAAATCGTATTTGAAACAAAACAAAAATTATAATCCATAAAACAGAAACCTTATTTAGCTGCTCTTAGGTGTCAATTCAACACTACATATAAGTGCAACATATTTACTGACTACGAATGTAGTCATCTATTATAAAAAATTTAAATCATTCCAAAAAGAAATTAGTGCAATTGTTTTCTATACAATATGAAATATGAAAAAATTAAAATATGAAAAAAATTCTAAATAAACTGAAAAAATCAACTAAACTTGAAATGGTGGGATGTGTTGTGTGTTATTGCCATAACGCCGCCAACCCATAACATGCCATTTTCTTCTGTGTTGTTGTTACAATTCATAGTTCCGCAGTGTTTCGTGCGTCCGAATGAAGCTAAAAAGGCTGCTGATGAAGCTAAAATGCGCTTTGCACACATTGATGGCGATCATTTGACACTTCTTAATGTATACCATGCCTTCAAACAAAGTAAGTACAAACATAAAAAAAGTTGAAGAACCTTACTTTATATTGCTAATGAAAATTTTATGTATTGATTGTTTTGATTGTTTTGATTGTAGGTAATGAAGAGCCAAATTGGTGCTATGAAAATTTCATAAATTTCCGTTCATTAAAATCTGCTGATAATGTCCGCCATCAATTGGCACGTATTATGGATCGGTTTAGTCTAAAACGTAGCAGCACTGATTTCACATCAAAAGATTACTATGTGAATATAAGAAAGGCTTTGGTACAAGGTTTCTTTATGCAAGTGGCACATCTTGAACGTACTGGTCATTATTTGACCATAAAGGATAATCAAAATGTACAGTTACATCCTTCAACATGTTTAGATCATAAACCAGATTGGGTCATCTACAATGAATTTGTACTAACAACTAAAAATTACATACGCACCGTTACAGATGTTAAACGTAAGTAAAAATCTTTATTTTTTTATAAAATCTATTTAAAGACAAATACGACAAGGAAAACTATTTTCAAAATTCAAGTCCAAATTCAGGTTTTAAACACCTGAACCAACGTCGTACTTAAACTGTCCTACTCAAACATGGAATTTTATTATTGTAATTTATTTATTTTTATTTATATTTGATTTTAAATAAATTTAGTAAGTCAAAAACGTTTTTATACTCGCATGTGTTATAAGTAGTAATGTTCTAAATAAAGATTTAATGTCTTCACCTGATTTTATATGCATTTCTTGTGTTTTCGTTATAGCTGAATGGTTATTGACTTTGTCTCCGCAATACTATGATCTAAACAATTTCCCACAATGCGAAGCAAAACGTCAACTGGAATTATTGCAGCAGCGGTTGGAATCTAAACAGTTCCAAAAAGGATTTTAACTTGTTAAGATTAGTTTAAGGTTTTCCAAATTTTACACTTAGTTCTCTTCTACAAGAAATTTTTTATTGATTTATTAATACGATTATTAACATACTATATACAAGTGCAGTTGTAGAAATAGCTTGAAATCTTTATATATATCTGATAGTAATAAAATCGCTAATGCAGTTTAAATTAATTTATAAAATACATACACATATTTCAATTAGTAAACATAAACCAACTAATTACAAATAATAGAAATTAGTCTATCTATAATATAGGACAGTGCATAAATACGTTTGATTATATTTTAAACATAAATTATTGTAATAATATTCGTATATTCTCCACATGTTTATTTATATACATTTATATATATATATATATGTATAAATATATAAGGATATATGCAGTATAATATAATTTGAATTTAATGTACAATAAATATTTCATACAAAATAAAAGTATTGCATCATTGATTTTATTTTTAATAAATTTTACTGATAGATAAATATAAATACATTTTAAAATAATTGATTTAGAAAAGAATTTAATAACGTATTTTAATTAAAAAATTATATATGGCTAAGGATACGCACATCTATGCGTGGCAACTTGGTGCCAGATATGTAGTTCATCCTATATTATTAATATTTATGGCAAGTGCTGATAACAAAAACTAATGTAAAATACATATTTAATATATACCTAAAACAATTTTTTTTTGTGCGAGGAAAGAGTCATGCATCAAAAAACTAAGCAGGGCTTTTAGGTTGTGATCAGTATTTGAATTTAATTTAAATTTAAGTGAGGAATATATACATAAATATATACTTTAATATATGAAATATAATCTTATAATTTATATAAAATCAATTTGCATAATTTTTTTATAATTATACATAACATTTTGTTTTTTATTGCTTATAAGTACACATTTATTATAGTTATTATTATGCCACTATTATTCATCTAAATATTTTTAAATTCCATTAGTTATATTAGATGGCTTAACCATTGGTTTTCTGGAATTGTATCAATATGACCAAATATGTAGCGATTGCGGAACTGAACTGTTATCAAATAATGATAATTAAAGTTCAATTTTAATGTATGTTCCACTTACCGATGTCAAAATATTCCGATTAACTCGACAAAGACCGCTTGCAGTAAAGTCAGCACTCATAATTAACAATTGTTGCCAAAACTTTTTTATCTAAAAATCGTATTTAAAGCAAGTTTTGAGTTTTTAAGTAAAAGCTTAATGAGTTAATATAGTTAGTATATAATTATTAAATAAAAATTGTACATAATAAACAAAGGGAAGCTTATAACATACAATTGAGTGATTCTGGATAATAATTAAATTTTCATATAGTAATACTTATTATGTACTATTAAGTTTGCCCTGCACATACTGTTCCTATGTGCAGTTGATTGAAAAGTGGTAATAATGTATTGACGGCAAACGGTGACTGTCGCCATCGATCTGCAAGACGCACAAGCACAATTTCCAGTTATTCCAAAACTTAGCACTACGTACTTCAACCGGTTGTTACCGGTTATTTTACCGTTTTAAATGCTCCTTGCATTGCAGCTAACAATAGCCCATCAAAACAGTTCCTTATATCGTTCAACATAATGTAGATAATGTAGACCAGCATTCAAACAGAACTATAAGTGATAGTACAGATTTTAATAGTGTAAAATCTCTGAAAATGAATGACGTCTCCCTCATTCAGTTTGCGCTCACAGTTCTTGTGAGCTCAATTGTAGTCTGGACAAAGCTATGTGCTAAACAGTCATATGTCTCCCATAAATATGTCTATCATAACTGCAACCCTACTTTTCATGAGTTCGCCCATTTGTTTTCGTTGAAGTTGTAAGATTTTTTAACGTTTATATAGATTTTGTTCAACCCCTTTCCCTACTTTTACCTTACACTTTCTTACAGTTTTTGTCATCCTTTTATGTGTTTGCTTTTCAGATCAACGTTTATTACAACACCAACACCAACAATATTAATATACTATATTGACTTACCTCTTCAGCTAATATGGGATCATGTATTTTTCGTTCCATTTCGCACACAATTTGAATAGTTTTTTTTGACTAGAATTGGAAACAGTTCGGTTTCAGTAATTATTGTCATTAGAATATCATTTGCTACTTACTTCCACACTGGCTAAATGACATGGCTCAACTATCAATAATAAACGTAATGCATGGAATATAATCCACAACACTTGTAGCCAAAGATAACCACCGTCTTTGGTGTTGAACATTTCCAAAAATAAGAAATAAGCGGTAGCCACTAAGTGTAGCAAACATGAAACCAAAATAAATAAAACTGCAGCCCCATAGGAACTAAAATAGTAATGGAAGTAATTTATTTAATTGACATGAATTAATTAAACGTTTAAGTGGTTATGCGATCTGCACTCACCTTGACACAATATAAACACATTTCCCAAGGGAATCATGATTTTCTGCCATTAGTCTGATAAGCGTAGATTTTTTCTTCGCTGTAAGAAGTACGAATTTCAAATGAGATTATAATATATATAAAGTACATATATAGTTTCGTAGATTTATGTTGATAATCTATAGTTAACACCTACCTTCTCCATTGTTAAACTGATTTTCAGCGGACACTTTGACCAAACTCGTATTCGAGGTGAATGAAGATTGCAATACCGATTTTACAGTTGTGACCTTTTGTTTAGATGCATTCTCATGTTTACGATCTGGAGTTTTTAAAGAAAATACACATATGACAATATTTATATATTGTATATTGTTTATATCACCTGTACCTGTCAAGAACGTAGTTTTCAAAAATAAATTAAGACGATTATATCGGCGACATAAACCAAAAGCCGTATTGGCGAGACTAACATGTAGCCCAGTTAATAGCAAATAGAGGCTATAGAATGGTATGTACCAGTGGATATTCGTTTCTACAAGTATAAATACACTTTAGTATTTTTAATATTCTTTTAAAAAGGAAATAGTGCTTTTTGAAGCACTATTCTCTAACGCACCTGTGTTCACTGAGACGCTTTTCGATTTGCTTGCAAATCTCAGCCAAGTTCCAATATCCAATGCTATAATCACAATGTAATATAATATATATAGTGGATTCAAAGCACATCTGTATCACTTACCTAACAAGCTACAAATAGTTCCGAGTGGTAGCACAATCATGGCTATGGCACGTATACGATCTCTTTTAAAATGCAACGATGAGTGTAGTGTTTCATCAACCTACATATACCATATTTATCTTTATATATTACTAACTCAATTTAATTACTAACTCCTTAATTAGAGATATAGTCACCTTTCTCAAACGGATGTTCAGTTCCCGTGTGGCTTTGAAACCGAATAAGCCACAAAGTGATCCTGCACTCGTTGCTAAAACTACCACTGAGACATCTAATGCAGTTACAACCTTGGAGGTTGCCGATTTCATCCTAAAAGATGCGCTTTATATTTTCGGATGCAGCAGATAATTCAATAAATTTTGTTCAGTGCAGTATAGAAGGAAATTTATATGTAATACAAGAGTTAGAAAAAGAAATTGAAAGTATTTAAATTTAGTATAAAAGAGAAGTTAAGCTATGAGAAAGTTTTAACGAGCAATAGATGGAAGTCTATAGACTGGTATTTTGTTGGGGTTTTTAAAAATTAATTCTCTAGTAGAACTCAAGAAATTAGATGTTCTATTCAGCATAACAACTAATTGACGAGAACTAAAAGAAGTACTAATTTAGACGTAAAATCTCTGGGCTACTACGACTTAGACATGACTATTGCTTCCGGATGAGCACTGTATGGGCTTTAACACGAAGTTTGCATTATCCGGTGAATTAAAATCCAACGGCATCCAGTCAGAGAGATTTATGTTCAGCGTATTAGAGTCAACAACATCCACTCCTTATGACAGGAGGTGAAGACGAATAAAATAATTCTGATGAAGTATTTGTTGACTGCATTTAATGTACGAGTCTGAGAGTCTGAGAAGGGCGCATGGAACAGGAGCATTTCTGGCAACAAATCGCATAAACCAGCTAAGTTCTACATTATTTTCTAAGAGTATTTGGCATGAAATCCAAATTAGCTGCTCATTTATAAATTGAACATATTGTAAGTATTGAAAAAGTACCTATATAATAATCTCAAAATGCACTAAAATTTGCATACTTGGGAATGGAATTATTAATTATCAATGGGGTTATAGTCACAGGTGTATATCATAGAGTTTAAGTTGCGAACAAAACCCCCTTTTAAGCATATGAAGCATTCCAAGTCCGGAAATTATATAATTTGTATATATAAGTCTATGATTCACGCAGTACTTATAGGTATATGGCAAGGAAAATATCTGGTTAGTTAAGGGTATATGAGAGAAGACTATTTCAAAATATATATGTAATGGTGTTACTGAACGATGTTTCTTGCGGAGCGCAGCATAATCACCAGCTCCAGTACCAGTAGAACACTTGTAAATATATGTAGAGCATTTAGGGGATATAGAGCATTTGTTATATAAGCTTTGGTCCTTAAAGGACTGTTAAGTTAAGAAAGAGAAAGTAACAAACAAGTTATTAAATAAGAATCAAATGCATTCAGACACTATGCAATGACCCGCTAAGCGAACAATTTCGGTACTTACCGTACGGGAATTTTGGAATTTGCATCGAATAATAATCCACGATATGTTAGAAAAACTAAACAAAAAAAAAATTATTTAATAACTAAACTGAATTAAATTGAAAAATGAGAATCTTTGTCATTTACAACTAAATTAATTTAATATGTAAATTTCTATATAGTTCTTATAAAAGTTCAACCAAATTAGACTTAGAACCTCTAGACATATTATTCAATATTAGAATACATCCAACAATGTTTTGTATGTTCAATCGAGATTATTACAATAATGTAAATTTAGAGATCCATTTTCCATTTCCTAATTAATTTTAATTTATTCAACACACAGGTTTTAAAGTCATTTAAAGTCAAGTTCATTCAGTTTTAAGTAAATAATTTAAACAATTTAATTAGATTATTTTAAAAATTAATGATTTTTCTCTTCAAGTTCAATTCATATAGTTTTTAGCACATAATTTAACAATCTTGGTTATATTTTATTAAAAACTGAGGACTCTTCTTAACAAGAACCTTTAAGATTCTAATTCATTATAATTAGAGTCTTACAAAGAACTATATAGACTATTTATGAAATATGCTTGAGTTTTCATAAATAAACTGACACAGACCCAAAATAAAAATCAACGAGGCCGAGTAAACTGTAAACAAGACGCTCCGTCGTATCTCATAACCGCCATTAGCCCCTTTACGTATTGCAAATGGTGCCAATGTCAGCATTTTGCTTATATAAAATATGCCCACTGTTGGTTCGGAAATTTCCATTTTAAACTTAAAACCTTAAAGTTATGTAGCTCTTATGCGCTCGGACGCTACAAGCGACGTATTTCGTGAAAGTAACGCGTTAAACTAACTGACTAATATGAATTGCACCTTTCATTAATAGTCCTGTAGAAATCCTTTCAAGTTCAGCATACGAAGGGTGAGTAAGTCTGTTTGAAATGGAGTTTACAGAAGTGGCCTATGTGAACGCCTCTTACAACCTGAAGACCTAGGGCCTTAAGTACATTTCTCTAATACAAAAATTCTCTCTTGTCTAAGTATCTACTTGTCATATGGTCATGCAAATAATCGGAGTATTATCGGGTATTATAGAACAATATATTATGTAGCAATAACATTTTAAACTTCTTAACAATTTGCCCATTTCTGTGTTCACATGAAATTAAAAATTTTGTTGTTTGTTTACTATTTTGAACCACTTCGTTCATGTAAATAATAATTAATTTGCGACAAATCAGTTAAACTGCAAATAGTTCGCCGGCCAATTATCTAACGATTTAGCCTTAGATGCCCGCTTGTCCATACAATCGAGTGGAAACGATAAAACCATATTTGCATTGCAGACCCGCACACTGATGGCAAAAATAAATATAAATTTATATCTTTTAATTAAAGCGGACAGGCATTTTTTATAGCATACTTTTGAGCGCTGCATAATTGATTAATTGCTTTGTTCAGTAGCTTGCTGACAAATATTAAATCACAGACACAAAGAAGAATAATACACACATATGGAATTGAGATTAATTCATATAAATTATAATAATCAAATGATAAACACAACAGAAGAAAGAATTATAAATTTATAAATTATTTTAAATAACTTTTTATGGTATTGGAGTATTTTTTTCAATATCTCTCAACTGCAGTGACGTAGCCAGGATTGTGCCATGGGGCAAATATACTAGAGAATAATTTTTTTTTGCAGTTTATTTGTGATATATTAAATTTGTGTTTTATGAGTTATAATGTTAAACGAGGTGGTGATCTAATTCCTTACCCCTCTGGATACGTCACCAGAACTATAGAAATTTTTAGCTTGGAGAAATTTGTTTGAATTTTTTGCAGCCCATCGTTGTCTCATGTAGTTTTGCTATTATTATTTAGGATTATTATATTAGGAAATTATTATGCATACATTTTTGATCAGCTTTTAATGAGATCAGTATTTTTTTCACTGCTGAGGATATTTCTGACTTTTGTCTAGCTTGTTTGATCCTCAATTTCATTTCGTTATTTTTTCTCTAGAACATAGTTTAATGATGTGGTTGATAAAAATTTAACTTGCAGATAACATGAATGGATTTATAAATACTTAGATATTGGTTGTAGATGTAGAACAATGTAAAACATACATTGGGAATTGTATTATATGCTGCTTACTCATTAATCTCAAATATTTTATCGTTCTCAAATCTTTTCACCCTCGATTGCAGTGGTTGGCTCTATCAATATACAAAAAAGTACTCAAACATATTTAAATCGACTGATACGGTTGGTTGGTCGGTTGGTTGGAGTGGCGGCCCTGTTTACCAAGAAAAAGCCCACTTAAGCACAAATAATGGCCCGTTGTGGTACCACAAGGAAAGAGCGATGTTCGTATATAGATAAGGTGATATGTATACGACCAACGCCCAACAGAGAGGCAACGACTCCCCCATTAGGTGAAAGAAAACCAGCCCGACAGTTCTATGAATCTAGCTAGGTCCCTCACATTGTAGGATGACAGATCAGTTAGATCAGTCAGAAAAGGGGCCCCCAAGATTTTTGATCTTCTTCTGGCTAAAGATGGGCACTGACACATGAGATGAAACACAGTTTCCTCCTCGTCCTCAGAGCCACAACCTCGACAAAGGTCATTATAAGGAAGACCCAGTCTCATAGCATGCCTCCCTATTAGACAATGACCCGTCAGCACCGATACCGTAGCACTGAGCAGATCTCTCTTTAGTTGGAGCAGCTGATTTGTACGCTTTTTATCCAATTTAGACCAGATCGACCTAGAAATGTGACAACTGGGCTCACTTACCCATTGTTGCTGAGCAATGCTTAGATATTTTTGTTTAATTGCCAGTTTAACTGTTGCAAGTGGAACACCAATTTCTAATAGATGAATATCAGGGAGAAGAGCCCCCGTCTTGGCAAGCTCGTCCGCCCTGCAGTTACCCGCAATATCCCTATGACCAGGAACCCAGATAAGTTGAACGTTAGCACACATAGCTAGGTCATTGAGAGAAACACGGCAATTTTGCGTAATAATTGATGAGGCTGAGGTGCTTACCAGTGATTTAACGGCAGCCTGACTGTCCGAGAAAATCGAATAGCTTTCTACAGAGGTACAATTGTCAAGGATCCATTTTACAACATAATGGATAGCCATTACTTCTGCTTGGAAAACACTACAGTAGTTAGGAAGTCGAAGCGAGACACTAAGACCTAATCTTTCCGAGAAAATGCCACAGCCGACTCGATTGTCTATTTTGGAGCCATCTGTGTAGATATCTATTGTATTAGGGGTAGATACTCTTCCAAGGGTCCAGTCTTCTCTGCGAGACTGATACGACTTCCTAAACAATTTAAATATACCAATCAAAGAATATACATTTTTTCATAGAGTAGAGCTTCAGCTGCTTTAGAAAAAAGACTTCGATTAACAATTAGCTTATATGAGTAGATTAAAATGATTTTAAGTAATCTGTCATTTTTTATATCATATGTATAATAAACAACATATCATAAATATATATTATAATTCAATAAAACTTTTTTCTTGCACTTCACATATTGCTGAAACAAGGATAGACACTGTGATTTGAATTCATGGCACAAAATTTAATTTTTGTTTGTAAAGAAATAAATGTGAACAAAAAATAATAGTTTACAAAATACATTTATATTATATAACAAAGTTAATAAAATAATTTTATAAAATTTTTGTTAAAAATTAAATTCAGAATTATTAAAGCTTTTCCAAAGTTTTGATTAGATTCATACTACTATAATCAATGCACATGCAGCTACTAATTATAAGATATTTTCAGAACAATATGATAGTTTCGACAATACGTGTTCCCACAAAATAAGTTTACATTCCTATTGGTTAACACACATTATTTGCGTTGAAAATCTCAATCCAATATCCATCAGGGTCTTTAATAAAGGCTAAGCCATGCATACGTCCTTCATTAGGTTTCTTAATGAAATCAACCCCTTGTTCTTCGAAACTTGAACAAAAATATGATCGATTACTTAAATAATATAAAAAATATTTATTAATATTAATTTTATTTACCGTTTGCAAGCAGCATATACATCCGGTACCATGATGCCAATGTGACCAAATCCACGGGGATCTGAATTGCCAGTATGATAGCTTTGATCGGGATCGTTTTCAGTACCCCAGTTGCTGTAGTGAAAAAGCATTGATATATAAATTAAAAGTGATCAAATATTGTTTTATGAGATACATACTTAATTATATAAAAAGTTAACTCAATTTTTGAAGTTATTTAACTGATAATACTTAATAAAAATATTAAAATGGTTAGAAAAACGGGAAGTGTGTATTCAAGAATCATTAGACCGTATTAATTTTCATTTTATTTATTATTATTTTTAAATCAAAGTGTTAATTTTAGGAACCTTTCAGTGAACAAAGTATACATATGTCCAAATTTAAATTTTTATACATGAGATATAAAGTTTGTATATAGTTTTTATATATAAAAACATAAAATTATTGCTCATTGTCGGTAAATTTTTAATTATATAAGCTGCACATTATATGTAATGCTTTTGATATACTTTTCATACTTACTGTGTCAACTCAACAGTCGCTTTCCGACTCATAGCCCAACGTTTGCGTTCATCATTATCCTTCGGTATGTCAGCAGGATTTTCATAACTGCAAATATTTTAATATAATAGTAGGTTAAACAATTTCAAAATAAATAGAACTGAAATAATTTTACCATATACATATGTACTTTAATATACATAGATATATGCACTTCATATATTTTAAGAATATGTGTGGGTATACAATTACAGATTAATAAATCACTGCTAACGTTAATAGATTTACTTATATTTGGACGAGCATATTTGCCCACTTCAAAATATGGAGCGTACGATTATCTTTGTATGTCCAAAAGCAAAGCAACAACTTGTTGCATGCAAACACATTGAAGTGATGGCAGATAAGATTGCCATATTTAAAAAAGTTAGACTCACCCCATAAAGTAAAGCGAGAATTTTGCTTCTGGAAAATCTAATTTTTGCAATAAAGTCATACCCAAAACGCCAGTATAAAAAGGTAAAGATTTACGTGGATCCTTTATTCTATACATGGTTTGCTGAAAGAGGAAATCCTAAAAATTCGACATATTTTAAACGTGTTTGCAATCATTCTTCAAGTGGAAAGTGGAATTATTGTACCTTTGTTGAAGCATCTGCAGGTTTGCATAATGCATCCACTTCAGAATTTGTTAAACCGTGAACTTCAGCCATTCCGGAAGCACTAGAAACTTTTCGCAATATTAATAAATTAGTGGAGTGATACGGTGATATTTTATATACGCCGGCCAAGTTATTATATTTCCAAAAATTTGACAGCAAAATAACTGGAAGTCTCATTTGTACGATTAACAACTCTGTAGCAAGTTTTGAGGAACGTTGTAAAAATGAGACAGAAAATTCTAAACTTTAGTTATAAGACTAAACACAGGGCTGGCGCTTATATCTCTTACACTCTTTTCAAAAGAGGCGCAACTTCAAATTTGTCAATCTTCAAAAAATACAAAAAATGTATATAATTATTGGGAGTGTTTATAATATAATAATGTGTTTTTAATACATTTACTTTCAGTATCAACAAATAATAATAAGAATTTTAATTAATTTTTTTTTTTTGGTTATTACGTATATTTACTTAATTTTATTCATTTATGATATACTAATATTAAGCTTATGTTATTTTTCATAATTTTGTTTATATATAATTTTGTAATTTCACAAAATTTTGTTCTCATTAAATATACTAAAATCGTGATTATTTTTGAGATATTTTTTCCGTTTGATAGTACAATTTTTCACCATAATTTTTTCAATACAATTTATTTTTACTTTTTTCATCATTTTTTCCAATAGAAAATCTCTTTTGATTACTACTAGGTGATATATTATTAGATTTATTATTTAATTTAGCTTTTTTTGAGGAAACTTCTTTAGTACATTCGCATCTTTCTTCATCATCATCGAAGACAACATGAAATTCATAACTTCTAGAGACAATATGTGCCACTAATCCATATTCGCATATAACTTCATTTTTAACAAAAGCAAAAGCCTCACCCAGATTAAAACCGTTAAGTACAAATTTTATGGTACATGGATTAACATTCATATCTAAAGTACACTCGATCACATCATTAATACCAAAAGGTTTTCCATATTCACTATATTTAGAGTTATTAGCCAAACGTCCAGATTCACAATATGCAAACGAAGTATTCGTTTCGCCAAGCAAACGTTCGGTACTAGCAAGAGAGAAGCCAATACGAAATCCATTTATACTTGGCATTTCATTTAAAAACATTCCTATTGCATTTCCACTCATCATCTTTTCATTTTCCGTAACAAGTACTTTGAACGTACACTGACCCTGAGTGATGCTAATTTCGGATATTGCGCCGAACCAACCTAAGCTATAGTTAACCTTTTTCATTGGTCTGTTTGCAGTAAAGTTATCTAGAAAAGCTTCAACCAATTAAATATCCTTTAAAATATCTTTGAAAAAATCTCTTTAAAACTTACTTGAATATTGAACCTTGTTTAGAGCACTTTTATTAACTGATGCAGCATTAGTACTTCTAAAAGAACTTTTATTTTCAGTGATATTATCTGTAATCATTATTTCTTCATCAAAATTATTAGTAATATTCCATATTTGCGGCTTTGGTTCTTTTAATACTGGTATTAGACGAGGATAAAAAAATTTACGCTTAGGAGGTTCAAGAACTGTCTCACTGTCCGTAGTGCTCTGAGCATCATCTGATACCCCACTACCGGGTTTGGTATCTTTTGCAAAACGTACACGTTTTTTTGTTTTCTTTGGTTCTACAGTTTTATTTTGTTCGGTTTGCTCTTCTGACATGAAATCAAATTCATTTTCAGTACTTTTATGTAATAACGATTTTAAGCGCTTTTCCAATAAGTCACTCATAGACTGCTGGAAAACTCTGCACTCAGATGGAGTCATCTGCTTCATTAAACATTGTGTTGTTGGCAGTAGCACGTCAAAAGAAGCCATTTCTATGAAATAAAAATAAAAATAAAAATATAATTAAATATGAAATAAAATTATTGTTAGACTACCTGGAGAATTATTAACTAATTCAGAGTTCCGAGACAAATCATAAAACAAATTTGGTAAAGGAATCCTATCCATTTTGCCAAATCTTATATTGCAAAAAAAAACTAAATAATCAAAAATACAGAAAAAATATATATATCCGAAAATTATATTTTAATCAAAATAAATCAAATATTGTATATCAGACAAGCCGTTGTAAATATCAAATCCTACTTTGTTCAAAATTTTTCACAAGTTAAATATTATTCAGCGTCCTGACCAATCATAGTGCAAAATGTGGAATTGCCTCGGAGCGAAAGGATTTGAGTGCGTTTCACTTGTATGAACTTTATAGTTTAATGTGAATTAGCCAATATATATATGTTTTATATATTGCATTCATTTTAGTAACTCACGGGTACCGAACTTCTCAGGACAGCCCTATTCACATGTTTGAAATGTGTGAAAAAAATATATAAAAGTTATATTAGTAATTTTATGGTTTGAATCGCTCATTGGAGCCGGTAATGCATACGTTATCGTTGTACTGATAGTGATTTATCCTTAAGGGGAATAGAATTATTCATAGTAGTTAACATTTAAAAGTTTAAGTTTTAATTAATCGACTATTTCAATTTCTAAGGCTTCGATAGCTTTAGTTGCTGACGTTCGTATATGGGTTCTATAACTGCGTAGCTTCTGGATTGTTACACTTTACGTATTAACTAAGCCCCACACATATATATAGTTATAATTACCTAATAACTACGCATCAACTGTTCTTCTGAGTGGTATTGAATTCTTCCTGTGGCGAACTTTTTAATAAAAGATGGGAAAACCTTTCGATGTGCAGGTATCTTTATGCAATTTGGCCACACACCAATAAGAGAAAATCAAACTCTCTTATAGAGATACCCCGTAGAGATATCAGTCTTGCAGTAGGTTTACAAACAGATCATTATATGACTAACAGATCATAGGTAACCATGCTAAGAGACTAAATCTCCCTTTCAACCATATTCGCTGCAGTTGTGGTGAGGACTATGAAAGTGCCTCCGAGGCACTCGAACAATGTTGTTCCGAGTGGTTTCCTATATGTAAATTGGACTGAGCACAAGGACTTTAAAGCAGCTTGACTATCCGTATTAATAAATGCAATATAATTTGTAACTTCAATTTAATAAATTAAAAGTAGGAGTTTAATTTTGTATGCAAATATTTCATTTTATTTAATAAGTCTGATATTTTTAATATAATTTAATGAGTTTTGTTTTCTTATTAATTGTAGTTTTCTACTTTAGTATATATGTATATAATAATTTTAATTACATTTAAAGGCATTTTCTTTAAGGGCAATATTTATTTCATCATTTGTTTCACATATCATAAAACTATATAAACAAAATGAACAAAATTTTATGAAATCATTTTTCAAAATCATTTTAAATATCAATTCATAATATAATGCTTATATATACTCGTATATATAATTTGTTTAATTGGTTATGTACACATTTGTTATGTTAATAAATTATATAAAAATAATTTACAATAGAAAGAGAAATAAATGAGAGTAAATTTTCTCTATTATTTTTTGTCTAATTAACTTAAAAGTTAAATTTTCTAAAAACAAATTAAATTAAAATAGTTTAAAATTTCTTCAATAACTTTTTTTGTTTTTTTTTTTTTTTTGATTAAATTAATTATTTTGAATTATACCTTGAAATAGTTTGAAATATGTTTTTTTTATATAAGAGGCTTGAATGATTCTGTTGCTATTCATTATGTTGTAGTTGTAAAAGATTATTTATTCAAAAATTTAATTAACAAATTGAAATTAAAATTTTTATTTGGAAGTTGTGGGACTTGTATATATTTCATATTAACGTTTACTGCAGACGTATTCAATGTTACGATTTGGACGTTAATTTCTTGGATTTTAAATTTATGGATGGAATTAATATAATTTTAGGTTACGATTGGATGGATATTAACTTCCTTAAATTTAAATATAAATTAATTAAGTCTTAAGGAAAAACATTCACCACCGGTGGCTGGATTTGGTTGGATCAAATCTTAGCCACACTCAAGGGAAAACTATTATTGGTTATTTATTCTTTAATGTTTGCTAAATACTAGACATTTCTCTACAAAAAGAATTCAAATACTTCTTTTACATTCATTTAGTCATTTAGTATTATTTCTTTTAATTATTAATGGACTGCTTTTTAAATATATTTGTGTATACTAAACAAGTGTAAACGAAAATTATTTATAATTGTAGTGTAAAATTATATCTTCTTCCTATTGTAAAAGTTAGTTTTTAAAGTATACATGGATATTCACAGATATAAAACAGTATTTGAAAGAGGCCAAATGTTTAACCATTTCAAGGTATTAATTCTTGGTTTGTTTGTTTGTTTTGCTTTAATAGTGCTTTATACAAATGATAATTTATATAAATAATCTTAAAGTTATGACTATATTAATTTAGTTTTGAAATTGTAATTTATATATATATATATATATATTGAAAAATAAACATAAATTTTTTCAAAGCGAATTATGGCAAAGTACTTAAATGTTTTTAGGCTTTTAGCGGCTTAGTCAAATTTTACTAGAATTAAAATGAAGCACAAAAAATGTTGCAATAAAAAATGCAAATAAATGAATAAAACACATAAAGAAATTAAATAATTCGTTTTAAATGTTTACAATTTGTACGTATACATTTAATAAGTAACTGTGAGTAAGATAGATGATGGTGCAGCATTAAACTAAAATAGTCCAAGGCAATATTCAATCAAACTTTGTACTTTAAAATTGGTCCAGTATAGGCAAAATATATTGTTAACAGAAAGGTAGAATTATGTTCGTATACCTTTCTAGGTTACTGTTTACGAAAACTCGTTTAATTTTTAGGAATTATCGACTATATATCAGCTTTTAACTCATTATAGGCTGCATGATTTATTGCTGCACCGCAATCAAAGCGCCAAAAAATTCACATAATAACTTGGCAAAATTTTCATAATTAAAATTAACTTATTTAAAATAACAACTGATTGTGATTGTTATAGTACGGATGCATTTAAGTGCGTGGCGCATTTTAAATTTATGTATAAGTATGTATATTTTTCATTCATTTTAAAGTAAATTTGATTTGTTTTATTTGGTGTTTTTATTTTATAACATATACTTTTGGAACTGAAAGTTTTGATATTTTGTTTAAGCGACGAATATGAAAAATGGTAGTTGTAATATATTTTTGATTTTATATTTATTTTTAATCAGTTTTCGATGTAAGCTGTATTATATATTTATGTATAAATAGATAAATCAATTTCAATTCCAAAATTATGTATGTATATATATATATATGTATATATTTCTTTACTTAATTTTTGTATGAGGCTTAGTTACAATGCATTTGCTTAATTGGTTATTGGTTATAATTATATTATCTTATATAAAAAATAAACAATTTATACATTATATTACATTTTATTTATTTATATTAATTAACAAGTTTTGTTAACAACTAATTTAACTTTTGTAAATTTAAGTTTAATTTTTTTTGTTGCAGTTACTTTTAATTCTCTCTCAAGTTTACAAATTTTATATATATAATCTTTTTTATATTAATATGTTATTGTAAATGTGGTCGCATGTTTGTTTTGTGTATTAAAAATATTATATTTATTTATATAACTATATTACTATTTTGTTTAATATTTTAAAATTAATTACAAAATTGGCAAATTATTTCCAGTTCTTAATTAGTTATTATACTTTGAGTTCTTTAGAATATTTCATAATTTGATTTACATTTCTTTAGAATATTTCATAATTTGAATTTTCATAATGTTAGACTATATTAATTAAATTTTTAAATTTAAAAATATTGAAGGAAATTTTTTAGGTATATCTCTAATTAAAAACCAAGGAAAATAAATGCATAATTAAAATAGTTATGAAAAGCTCTAACAATATCAATAATTCAATAGTTCAAGATAATAAATTTTCTTCTTTCTTAACACTTAAATTGATTTTTAAATAAATAATAAAAACTAAATCCATAACAAATTGTTAAATAAATTCAACAGTAGTACTCAGAAAAAATTTAAAATTTTAGTTAAATATTAATATATAATGATTTTCAGTACTTTTTGTTTAATAGTTTTAGCGCTTTTTAACATAATAACCAAATATTAACAAGTTGTAAGTACCGCTTAATAATTTGACAACAAATATATAGAAATTTTCTTAAGTTTATATATAATTTAAGTAATTCATTCATCATCATCGGATGAATTAGATGACAACTGCAAGTCTCTTTCCAAAAAATTATTTGACCAGTCTGATTTTGCAAGGTTTTGTTGTTGTTGTTGTTGTTGATGTTGCTGTTGTTGATGCTGTTGTTGTTGATGATGATGTTGCTGTTGATAATATTGTTGTTGATGCATTAATTGTGGTTGTAGTTGTTGTTGTTTATGTTGATGCTGATGTTTTTGTTTCTGGTGTTGTTCTGGTTCATTGTCCGAATTACCGGAACTTGAGTTACTATCACTTTCGCTTTCACTATCACTATCACTAGAATTAGAAGACTCTGATGAAGTCATCTCACCAATTTCCTGAAAAAAGGAGAAGAACAAAACTTTCTATTAACAAATAATCATCATAATTTTTAGTTTATGTCTTATTAAAACCGGCGGACTAACCGATGATTCTGGAACACCTAGGTCACGTGGTGAATTGTTACTGTAGTGATTACCACCATTGATACCAATATGATTTTTATATGCATTGCCATTTGACACTTGACTCATATCTTGATGCAACTGTTGTTGGTTTTGGAAAAAGTTTTGTTGTTCTTGTAAATTTGGTCGTAACTTTTGTTGCTTCGTTTGCTGTAGCCATGTTTGTTGTTGGTCCTGTTGTGTTTGTTGTTGTAACAATTGTTGCTGTTGATATTGGTGCTGGTGCTGGTGCTGCTGCTGTTGCTGTTGATGTGGTGGTTGGTGGTATTGTTGTTGATGTTGTTGTTGATGTTGTTGTTGGTGTGGCTGTTGGTGCTGTTGTTGATGCTGGTGCCTTTGATTGTTAATATTTCGATTTGCATTGTTTTGTAAAGATTTCTTTTGTTTTTTAGTTTGTCCAAACTGATATTGATTATCTTGCACTGAATTATTATGATTGTTTATGGCTGACGGTGATGTATTAATTATGTTGCCTAGAAGAGTGCTAGCAATTGAACTATTTGGCATTTCCACATCAGTATCAATGATTGGTATACTAGGTAATGTAGCTTGAGCGTTGTTTGCATTCCAGCTAATTGTAAAAAAATGAATATTATTTATTAGTAAATAATACTTTTAAATATAAATTATTTGATATTCTGCTGAAAAAAAAATTTAACCGATCTTACTAAGAAATATCCTATCCTTCAATTAATATTATCCAATCTTCTATGATATTAATATTCCAATTTTTTCCTACACAGAATTCTGTCCTCTTCGGCAACATAGAATTTTCAGCGGTTTTCTTACACTTTTTAAAAACGTATAATGATAATTCAAAGTAATGTAATTATCATTATAATGTAATTTAATGATAATTTAAATTATAATTGAAAAAGTTAACAATATCTTTAAGCATATTTCAACTTCTAACACAATATTCACAAGTATCAAAATGTAAACAAAAGATAACAAAAACAACTGTCAAAATGAAAACCCGGAACGATAATATGAACGCTGCATCAACTTTAGCAAAGTGCGTTCACTAAAGTTCGTAATGTAAACATGGTATAAGTATCACATAAATTTCTTATTTTTTTATGATATCCTACTATTTTACTACTATTTCCAAAGTAACCGAAAAAACATAACTTGAAGGAATCATAAGAGTTTACAATAATGCAAAGGGAAAATGTTTCATTCTTATGGTGTATGTGATGTGAGTGGAGGATGTTCAATTCAGCCCAAGTTCGGGTACGGTAATCTTCACAAAATTTTCCTGGACAAGAAATTTCACTTTCTTTTTTATATACAATAATAAAGTTCTAAACAATTGATTTGATAGAAGAATTGCTTGTAAATATTGAAAATATTTATTAAGCATTTTATATAGAAATTATTACTTGATTCACCCAACTTAAGGACTTTTCTTTTGTAAGCATATCACAAAATAACAACTACTTATTTTAAAAATAACATTTCAAACAACACAGGTGGCTTATTAGTCCATCCTTTTTGAAATTGCTTAACTAATAAGCAGCTCAAATCGCATGGTTGCCAAGACTAAAAATTTTTCTACTGTGAACGATTTTTGGACGCACATACGAAATTTCTAGTTAATTGTCAATGAATGATTTCGTTCATTATTCGCATTTCGTGTTGTCATTGTTCGTAACAAATACGTTATTTTTTCTATTTATTATTTTAATGTTAAAATGCACGAAAAATTATATTTTATTCACAATCATGTAAAAAAATATTCTCATTAATAATTGCAAAGAATTACTATTTTTTTCCGATATATTAACTTTAAAATTTACGTATTTTGCACATATAAGCCTAACAAAATCTCTATCTTATCCAGAGTTGCCATCGGCAGTAGTGCTTACAAAAGAAAAGCCCCTTATTAGCTTTTTTTAGATTTATTCTAACTTATTCTATTAATGCTGTAGTTGTTATTATTTTAGTAACGAGTACGGGTTTTAATGTGTGAGTAAAATATAGAAAAATATAAGACCAAAATGCGAGAAAATATAAATCTAAATGCAGGTAAATAAATGTTAGAAAAAATTACATGAAAGAAGTTTACTTTGTAATACCAAATTTTTGTTTGATTTTTTTATGTTTTCGACAGTAATTAAATCATACATATATATTATATTTTCTATATATATATTGTGAGGACCAAATTTCACGGAAAAAAGCATTTCTTTTCCAAAATCTATAAAACACAATTATTCTAAGCAGTTGTAATTAAATTTTTAAAATCACGGTTTTCCCACATTCTTTATTAATACCAAAATTCGACGAATTTTAATTATTTCGGAAGTATGCATTTTATGCCAGTCCTCTTACTAAGTTCGTAAAATCGTAGTTTCCCACGATTTTACTACTAGCAAATTCGGCGAATTAAAGGCTCAGTTCGATGGTAGGTAACGTAAGAAATTAATTCAAAGCGAAATGTACAACCAACGAAACTTGTGTGTTTGATAGAAACGAAATAAACAAAGTACACTGTTTTTGTTTATTTCGTTCCTATCAAATACGCAGGTTTAGTTGGTTGTGAATTTCGCTTCGAATTAGTTTCTTACGTTACCTACCGTCTAACTGAGCCTTAACGGTGCACTTTGTGCGGGTACGTTTGCTAAACTTGAATGCAATATGAAAATTGTTTTGCAAACGGTACTTTGTTTACCTCAAAATATTTTTTGTTGTTGTTTACAATAGAAGGAGTTTTATATAAAAGGAATCCAAATTGCGGTTTGGTTCTATTTGAAATTTCACACTATTGAAAGTTAGTTGTGTGTGCTTAGGTACAACAGTGAGAGCTCGGTCTAATTGATCTGGACACATGGTGGTTCGTTTGGCCTTTATTGACGTTCACCATGTGGACAGTTGAGGTTGGATGAATGAGGTGATATTGGTTAAGTTACCTTTCGTCTGGCCTATGCTGACGAAGAGTAACTTCTTAATCAGCCAATCGGATTTCCATCTGGCTATTGCTGATGCAAAACTGAATTGCAATTCACCTGCACTGTGTTAGAAGTTTGTTAGGAACAACAGTGGGAACTCGGAATAGTTAGTCTCGACATATGGCGATTCGTTTGGCCTTTGCTGACGATCGCCGAGTGGATTGGCGATTTGGTTTGAGTGAAGTTGTCTCCTGCTTGGCTTATGGAGGCATAGGGTAACTTAACCAGTCATTCGAACTGCCATTTGGCAGTCCTCCATTTGATGGAGGAATGGATGACGAGTCACCAACACTGTTGGAAGACGTATGAGTTATACGAGCGTTTGACGATTGCTGACGAGCGTGCCTAGGCGTAGCATCAGGAAAGGGATCTTTGTCTGGCTATAGCTAACAAAGGTTCCCACTAAATCCTTAGTTACTTCTTTTACTTTTCTGATCTTTGACTTAATCTATTTGAAATTTCGTACTGTTAAGGGTTCTACGCGCGCACTACTCGCAACGGTGGATTTCAGCAGCCTCAACGCTCGAAAATCTTCAAACGACACGATACTCTCAACGTGTATAACGATTACACAATATGTAACTTTGTTCTTTTGTTAACAACACTAATAAAATGTAAACACAACACAGAAGTGTCTTATTTCTTTAATTCTTATTACGAATCCTGGTATACTCGTTGAGTTATACCCCAGCTATAGATAGCGTCGGAATAGGTCGCTACAATATACATAAAAAATAAGCGGATAACTTAAATTACAAAGTGTGAAACCCTATATTTGACTTCAAACAAATGGTCAAAAAAAATGCTTAGTTTTTTTTAAATAACTATAACTACATAACTTTACATGTATTATTGATAGATCATCATAAATACATCATAAATAATTCATGTTTATGAAATAAAGCCTTTTGTTTTGAATATAGATCCATTTTTTTTAGTAATATAGATCCATTTTTTAACTTATTCGAATTAAACTTAAATCTTTACATCCATGTTAGAACTTACGCAGGCGCTGATTGTGGACTTTTGTGCACCGTTGAACTGACGCCTGCTGATGGAGAGCCTTGCATTGGAGAATTACGCGGTTTGAAATCAACTGAAATGCAAATATTTTTTATTAAGTTTTATTTTCAAAATCAAATCTCGATAGTTCACATACTAATATTATTTCGTCGACTTCCAGTCGACACTTTAGTTTTAGATTGTAAACGCATCGTTGTATTTTCCAATTTTGGAGGTCCCGTTGTCATAACTGGGTTAATGGCTGGCTTATTGGCTTCACTCCTGTATAATTTTAATAAATATACCCTTTAATATATATCTGACTTGACTATTTGACTATAAAATTTACCTTGTCTTCTTAACTTGTATATTGTAGCTTAATTTTTCTAAAGTCATATCACCTGTTTTCTTGTCTATTATTATAATACATTCTTTCGTATAATTTCTGTGATTTCCCTTATAAACAGTATTAGGCACACCGGAATTTTCTGCAAATAGTAAAAAATTATTTAATTATTATTTATTTATTCATTTATTTTTATTTTTATTATTATTTTTTTTGAAAAAAATACAATGAAAAAAATATTAATGATTAGAACATTGCTGCGATGGTCAAGCGATAAACTTGAACATTCTATGTGTAGACATTAATTGATGAAAATATTTTAGATGTGACTTGATTTAGTTGTAATTTTATTTGATTCGACTGTAAATGAAAACTATAAACAGCAATATAAAATGCTGGGTTTTTTGAAAATTAAAAAATTAACTAATTATTAACTAAAAATGTGGCAAATGGCAGCTTTAAATGCAGATAACTTTTTTATAGATGTCGTGGTGTTAATACTCTGATTCTAGAATCACTATCTTCATCAGCACCTCAAGAAAAAGATAGAAGTATTTCAAATAATATTAGTTCTTATAGGATACTGAACTATAGGATGACAGGAAAAGCCAGGACGGGACTGTCTCATCGAAATTCTTGTGAATTGCCTTTGTTAGTGCCTAACGAAAGAACACAGAAGCATCGGTTGTGTTACTGTTCAAGCTTATCAAGATCAGCGGTTCGTTACTCGAAGTGTTTGTCAAAAGTGAGCAAAATCGTTCGAAAAAAAATAAGTGAGAAAGTTACATAAACGACCCGCAGACCACAAAAAAATGGTCGCGTCTTTAATAGATTCAACAATATATTTAATTTAAAAATCAGCCTAATACTTGCGTTTATCTTTCCAAATGTTCAAGGAAATTTGATTTAAAAAGAGTTTCTAATAAAGAAAGATTTGACTTCTTTTTACTTTACCTACCAAATTCTTTACATTTATTTTTTGGTGCTGTTAGTTGGCACTTTGATGTGAAATGAAAGAGTTTACTAATAAGAAGAAAAAGCTTTTCTAACTGCAAGCTGACAATTTGTACAGGTTTAGTAAGATATTGATATAAATTAGAATCAGTAGACGAATTAAATGTTATGTGGCATTTTCAATATATGACTTAATTACTACGATACTATAATCAATCTTCTATCTTTTATGAAGTAAATGTATATATCAAAGTATAATAATTTTTGTGCAACTATATTTGAAATTTAAATGCTCTAGATATAAAACAATTGGGAATTTTTATGAAATGATTCATTTAGAATACCAAGAAAACTATAATGATTTTATTCCTTTTCTTTTAAAAGAGTAAATATTATCGAATTATATGTATGAGTTTAATTTTCACTGTTTGAACACTAGGTATTGACGTCATAAATTGTTAAAATAATTAACAAAAACTTAAAAGAAACAATATAATAAAAAACATTGACACAAATCAAGCTTGTTGGACTAAAAAACAAACTATGGTATTGTGGTGAGAGAAATAATTTGAAACACTCATAAAAGCTCCAAATGTGTGAAAATGTTGGTTGAGGTTAAAATTTTAAAATTTTACAACATTCTTGACCAAAACTCAAAAGCAACAAGAAAAAGGCAGTCAATTTGCATTAAGAGAAAGAAGTTAAAGAAATTTTACACTTCCCAAAATATTTAGAGAAAAAAAAGAAAGTCTTGACAATACAAAAAAAAAAATTCAAGGCCGCAAAGTTAATGGATTTAAATTTTGTATGATTTTTGCGATTTGATTTATAAAAAAAATGGGTTAAAGAAGTCACAACACTTCACACTGCAACCTTAACTACTTTATCTTCGTTTTAGATATTTCGCTTCCGCAATATTTTTCCGTGATTTTTGTCAAGTTCATTGTTGCTTTAAAATTTTTCTATTTTTACTTAAAAAAATTACAATTTCAATAGCCCGTAAGTATTTAAACTTATTTTAACAAAAATAATAAAAAAATGAAGAAACAAGGTTACTTTTATTAAATCTAATTTTATGAAAACTAGAACATATATTCATAATATAGTTTATATAGTTTTAACATATAAAAAAGAATGTCTATGTCAAAAGAAGTTGTGGTATAAACGGATTTAAATCAAACGTTAAAAAAATATTAATAAAATTTATCTATTTATCTACAATATTTATCTACTTATTAATCTATATCATTAAATTGAAAATAGATTGCAACTGAAAACAGATTAAGGAAAGTCGGGAAAGAGTGCTCTATAGAGAAGAACAAACTAATAGTGTTTTCGATTAGTAAACCTGAATTCAAACTCGATCTGTCAAATTTTTAGAATAATATAACATTTTTATAGTAAATACATATATAGACATCCCCACCTTAAGTCCCACATCAATGGCGCTTTACGCAGACGACACATGCTTGATCTACTCCGATCGGGATGCCATAAATGTAAGCAACACGTTACAGGGAAATATAGACCTTATGGTGGAATACTTCCAAAAATGGAAGATTAAAATTAATAATGACAAAACCAAGGCTATATTTATAACTCGAAAAAGAAGACAGCATCCTCCAAGAGTGAGCGTTTGCGACACGGAGATACGGTGGGAGGATAACATAAAATATCTGGGGGTCACTTTTGACAAACGTGATCAAGTTGGCTTAAACATTTGAAATACAACGGAATAGCTGCTTATAAGATTCTACTTTTATAAAGCCGCTTATTAAAATTAGGGGCATCTTTTTCAACTTTAAAACAGAAAGTTACTTTATAACGCAAGTAATTAGAACCGGGTGGCACTTAATGTACGGATGTGTTTACATATAGCAAAGCCTTCAAATACCACCTTAAAGCAATTACAGATAGCTCAAAACCTGGCCTTAAGAAAACTGTTTAAGATTCCATGGTACATAAGATCAACGGACATACATAGAGATCTTAGGATTGACTCAGTGAAAAAATATATCAGAGACAGAGCTTTAAAATTATTCACTAAAGTTGATACGCTACTTAACCCTGCCATAGCAATCCTCAAGTCCACTTCTGGACTCTCAGGAAGATATGCTGATTTAAGGTCCGTCATCAATTAAAAGACAAATAAATGATATGATTTTTTAGCCTAGTTAAAGCCTAGTGTGGGGTAGTGATAAACCCCCCAGCCATTATAGAGTAAAAGTGCGTAATAGCACTAACTCAAGAAGAAGAAGAAGAAGAAGAAGATATATAGAATCAAATCACACTTTATATGTCAAATCATATAAAATAGCTATTAATTACAGGGTAATCTTGCTACTTTCGCAAAATATCTATGTTAGTGTTATAAATCAATCGCGAGTGTTATACATTTTGCCCCAAAATTTACCAATCGAAAATAAAACTGCACTAAAAGTGCATGAAAAGAGCATCTCGATTGAAAAAATTACCCCATAGTTACCAATTTACCAATTATATTAACACCATCAAATAAGCAGGATCTGATATTTGTATTGTCGTTATATGTGTACATTTCTGGGTTGATTGATAGGTTTCTGGGAATTTAAGCTCAACAAAATAGAAGCCTGGAAAAAAAGGATGTTGCACTAATCTTTTTCCTGTTGAAGTGCATATATTTCTCAGACTAAATAAGTACTTAAAAACCACATATAAATGAAGTGAATTTCACAGCTCAGAGTAAAATATCCACCTATCTTATTTGTTTATGTTTTGCAATTGTCAGGAAATGAGTACAATTCGTTCATTTGACTTTTCTTAAATCGATTTTTCTGGAATTTTAAATCAAGTATCACTTGTAAGGTTTAGCAATAGTCTTAACATATCTGGGTGGATTTAGGGACTCTATTCAGAGATAGCATAATAGATCGCATAAGTTGTACATATATTAACATAATAATAATAAAATAAATATATATTTGCATATATACGAGTATACGAATTAGATACGAAATACCTCAATAATATCAACTTGGTTGATATGCAATGAATGTTGAAAATTTTGGATTTTAACATATATGTACTTAACTGTTGTATATTTTAGTATTCATTAAAAATACGTGGGGGCAATGTGTAACATATGAACCTAAAGATGTACAACTGGTAACCCTAAAAGATATTAACAGTTTTTTTTTTTGTACTTTGCAGGAATATATTATTATATGGAAATGATCCCAAAAATTGTGAGGAAATCAATTTAACAAAAAAAAAAATCGAAATGTATATAAAAAAACTAATGCCCTTCGTCAAGTATATACAGTTGATTTATATAGCTATGGACTAAATATAAGAGAAAATTTTCAAGTATAAGTGTAGCGAAAGTTTATGATAGAATACTATATAAACCGTTGTTTAATTCTAGCTTCTGGTATTTCTTGATTTGTGCTAAATGCTTCATTATACTTTGATATACACAGAAACAAATATAATGGGAGGGTTTTGCCAAAAAATTTTTAAAGCACTTTAATCAATTCTACAAATTTATAGTGGAAACGTAATTAATTTTTCGGATTTTAAATGTTAATATAACTCATTAAACTGATTATATACGTACGACGACAGAAGTAGTGAGTAGCATGTATTCATTATTTTGATGCTGATAAAGTAGCATTTGTAGTCATATATATATATATATAAGTCAGACTTATGTTTAGCAACTATTTATCTAACTATAAAAAAATACCTATTGGTCTTTAATTATACTATATATTATAATTATACATTATAAATGAAAATATTTATTTCAGAAAGTAATATAATAAATTTTTTTAATTTTATTTTTTTAAATAACTAAAATTGTTTTTAAAAAAAAACAGGTATTTTCACCCGCTGGGGAATTATTATTATGATAAAAATTTAAAAAAATACCAAATTAAATGTTAAGACATGAAATATTAAAGTTAAAAGCTCAATGAATGATATGAGAAGAGTTAACTATACAATCAACCAAGCAACAACCCAACAAACTAACAAGTCAGCCAACAAGAAAACTAACGAATCAACAAGTAACAAACACGCAACAGCCAGAGTGTATCCCCACATCCAAGCCATGAATGTTCCGAGCCGCAAAACTCAATTTGAACCAGAAGACTTTGCGTCGTACAGATAAATTAAGCGGCGATACGATTACGAAAGCACTGAGATTTA